CACAATAGAGCGGGGCTCCAGGCCGGGGCGAGCGGCCCCTCTCCTGCCTCCCTCTCCTCGCCCGCTGCGCTGTGGCCTCGCCAGTCTCCCGTCTGCCTCCTCGCAGAGCCCCGGCCTCCAGGGTCGCCTGCTTCTGTCACCCTGGGCCGGCCTCCCGTTGCCGCCCGTGCCATCTGCTGTCCGCCGCCGCTTCCTCTCCCGCGGAGCCGCTTCTCCTCCAGGATCCCTTCCTGACCGCCTCTACTGCCTGCCCTTCACCCTGCAGAGAGCCTCTCTCCTCCTTGCGGCTCTCCCCCGCGTAGGCTTACTCGCCTTTTGTGCAGCCCCTGGGGCAGCTCCCCTTGCACATCTTCACCTCTTTTTCCCTCTCCCCCTCTTCCTCTGCGCCCTTCGTTCCTGTTACCCTCGATAATGAGGATCCTGCTGGAGCACTGAAGAGGAGTAAAGAAGAGCTTGCTTGGCGTGCCCGTGTGGGGCTGCTACTTTCTCTCCTGCTCCCCTCCTTTGAGGGGGGCCTAGCCCCCGACCAGCCTCCTGCTCCTCCAGCAATTGTAAGCCAGAGTGGTGGCTCTGGTGTGGCAGGCGGCAGGATGACTGACACCCGGCGGAGGGTGAAGGTTTACACGCTAAATGAGGACCGCCAGTGGGACGATCGAGGCACGGGGCATGTGTCCTCTTGCTACGTGGAGAGGCTGAAGGGCATGTCCCTGCTAGTCAGGGCAGAGAGTGATGGTAAGTGTGTATGTCTGAAGGTACAGTCTTTCCTCATCCTGCCCAGAAAATGAGCTGGGCTTAGCTTTGTGTCTGTTGCCTTAATGTTTTGCTGCGTAATTCAAATGTGATTCCTGAAAGCAAGTAGGCACTAACCGTAATTCATTCGTGTTAGGCCAAGTGAAAGAAATGGAAGATTGTGATAAAGCACAAGCATAGTAAGTACTTGGTTCGTAGTGAATACACAATGTTGCATTAAAAATAGGCTCAGGTAAGTTTTGTATGGGTTTGGATGTCTAGTGATCTATCGCTAGATGCCCAGTGTACTCAGTTTCAAAACTGATTTTTGTGATATATCCTTCCTTAGATGATTTTGGGAACGATCCCTTTGTGAAAGTGGTTATTAAAACTTGGATAATGTTTTTTAGTGTAAATTTGTAAGTCATCGGATGGCTAATACCATCCCCCATGCCCCTTCAGTAATAGTGATAGTTACGCAAGACCTTCCGAAAGCTATCAACAGTTTTCAAAGTACAGTTGTTATAATACTAAAGACAGTACAGTGAACAGAACAGCTATTTTCAGATTTTATTTATTTTTTTTTTAACAGGACAGTAGTTCTGTCTTTCCCTGGTACTAGATCTTCCTGTAAATAAATTTTAAAACATGCATTATCAACTTCCTTCACGTTTTCTAACAACATGTGACAGTAGTTTGGATACAGAATAGTACTTTCTACCCCTGTAGTTATGTGTTTTGGCTAGCCTTGATTATTGGTTGAGTTCATGAGAGATTTTTTTAATTGTATACTTCGCAATATGTAGCATGCACCATTTTACCACTGAAGTCTGTCGGTGCGTGACTTATTGCTTTATTAGGTAGGTACTGTATCTGGTGACTTGTAGATCGAGTTGTAGCCTGTGACTTGTCAACAGAGCTTGTAGTTTTCTCTGCTTGCCTTTATGTATTGTAGGAACTAAGATGAAATGCAACTTGAAAAATCATTAATTCTTCCTGTTAGAGAAAGTTCTGACAAACTGTACAATAATCTCTACAGCAAGGATAATAAACTGATAGGGAGAAATGTAACTTTCATCAGAGCAGGATTTTGATAATTGAACTTCTGATAAGCGTGAATCTCAGTAGTTTGCAGTTTCTTTAGTATGCTTAAAGAAGTTAAACTAATACTTCATTTGTCTTACACTGAAGAAGATGCGTTTACAGTTTGGCCAACTTCATAGAGTAAGAAAATACTCAAAATGGAAATAGTTTTGTATCAGCATGAGAGAGGGTGGTAAAAAGCTTCTCACTAAATTTTTAGTCTAATCTTTACAGTATGTTTTGTTGTAGATACAGTCCTTTCTGTCTACATGACTGATGTGCTCATATTTAAAAACTGTCATGTCGTCTTTACACTAAACAATTTCCTGATTTTTTTTATAAAATTTTCTTTAGAAAAGGAGGCAAAAGAACTACAGTTCATAACCTGCTTGTGAAGAAATAGCCCATTCAAACTAAAATCCCTGTATTGACTGTCAGTGGGATATGTCTGCTTAAGACTGATTAGAACTTGAATTAGACTGTTGTTGCCAGCTTATTGTAAATGAACATCTGTGAGAAGGAAATAGAAATTGGTATAAATGCTCCCAAAACAAAGATGAAGTCATTACTTTGTGTTGCGTAGCTGAGATACTCTATTAAGAGCAGAACTGACTCAAACTTACTAATTGCACCTAATACACAGAAGTATATTTAATAGGGTACCCGCAGCAGAGCTCTATCAAGTACCATATGTGTACTTCAAGAGTATTGAATAATATACAGAGCTTAAGTTCTTAATTTAGTAGGTAGTATCAGGCCTGGGTAAATGTGCACTCTATTAATAGGCTAGTTTTTTTAATGTGCTTGTGTAAACACCTCAAAATCAGATTTTTTTTTTTTTTTTTTGGTTACTCCTAGTATCAGTAGTTTATGGGCCCATTTTGAAGGCAAATGCAGTCATTTTTACATCTGAGCAAATGGCTTGGAAACAGGTAATGCCAGACTTGGGGTATAGGTACAATGCAATTTCTGTGTTTCCTGGAATACTTTTCTTACTTAAATGAAGAAGTTGACTGTGTGTTTGGTGTTGATTTGTTTGTTTTGTTGTTTGGTTTTGTCTTTTTTTTTTTTAATTAAACTAGCTATCAAATCAAAGCAGGTACCAGGAACCTGTCCTATACACCATTTGCCTCCATGTTTCCATTGTGTTCTTGTATTGTCTTTTTGTCAGCTTCTCCTCTTTCCACAATGAAAATTCTTCCTTCCTCCTTTTCTATACCAGCTTTTCTTAGCGTTTGAGCTGAGATTCATCCTGTGCACGCTGGCAGGTTCTTAGTGACTTACTCCAGGAAGCTGACTGAAAACCTCGGGAACTGCCTGAAGCTGCGGCCGGTTTCCTGAGTGACGGAGGCGGTGGGGGATGTTAGCAGCAGTTCCTGCTGCGTGTGGGAAATTCCCGCTCCTGTTAAAGGGCCAGTGTGTCTCTGCACGGAGCAACAGTGTAATTACCTGGCGTTCATGTGGCTGACCGGGTGGGCTAGCACATACTTCAGTCTTTTGATTGTGTAGCTCTGAGGTGGCGTATCTTCATAGTTGCTTTACAGGTGGTTCAGATTTTATTTTAGCAGGGCCTAAATGTTCAGGGAATGGAAGTACAGTTAGTATGCCAGGCCCACGGTAAGCTATCATCTGGAATTGGAGCAGTAAGAATTGAATAACAATGTAATATTTTTATTTATAGATGTGGGTTGTTTATTCTCTGTTTGTGTTCTTTTAACACTATTTTGCAAGAAACTAATTTAGAGCAGTTGAGTGGTTATTGTTGCTATCTGAGATGTCTAATGTTCTAGGCACTGAACTTCAAAAGTCATTGCAGGCAATTTGGGGTAATCTATTACAATACAGAAATATAATAAACTGTTTTCAGATCAGATATATTATGATTTCAAGCAGGGACTTCTTTTTTTTTCTTTTTTACACTTAAACAACTGCTATCTTTTTTACTTAAAACCTGAGAAGTTTCTCTGTGATTCCTAGTTGTGCTGTGTTCTACATGAATTGCAGTAGAACAGTAGGGATCTCCTCTTACAAGTGATCACCTTCCATCTGAGTTTGTGTATAATCAGAAGCCTTTGATTTCTCACTTGGTTCTCATGGTATTTTAGGCTGCTGTGGCCTGCCTCATGCTTAAAATGTCTGTGTGCTTCTAGATTTTCACTGCATGGTTTCAGATTGCTTTTTTGTTCTGAGCCCAGATGACTGACGTGACCTCTAAAATGAACTTTTCTGTTCAGTTAGGTTAATTTGAAGGCTTGCACTTTTAATTAAAACTTATTAGTTCTGTAACTAAACTTTGTGACAAGCCAAAGTGAACTCCCATTGGAGGCCATATTTGCCGGTTTGCTTTAAGGAGTTATCTGATCACTTTTATTAAGAAGTTGTAGTTTGCCATGTCTTTATTCTATTAGGTTAGCCAAAATTTGTCTGAAGTTTGCTTTACTTTGCTAAAACTCAAGGCATTAATTTTATTTATCTAGTTATTAGGAAAGCAACACAAAATTTAGTGGTTATGTACTTATCTGAGGTTAAAATGCAAAAAAATAGAGGGGGGGGGGAATTTTGTTGTTGTTTTTCTCTTGGTTCTCCTTTCTCCTTAATATTTGGGTTTGACCCTTCAGAAGTCTGTGAGACTGAGCAGTACTATACTGTGAATGCTGACCTTGGTTTGAGCTCTTTCCTAAGTTTCTGTGGAGTGGTTTCTGTGATTCATTAGCAGCAGAACTTATTGCAGAACTCAAACTTCTGTGTGCATCTTTCTAGTTGTTGTCTGAAATGGTGAGGGATGAGTTGAATCATGTGGTAATGAGAAGCAAGTCAAGCCTTATAAGGGTTGATTTGTCTTTCCTGCAACCATCAGGTTTAGTAGAGAAGGAGAAATGCTTTTTTGTGGTAAGTGTAGTAAAGCAGTCATTCTTTTGTGTGTGCTTGTAACCTGGCAGGTGAAATGTCTGCATTCAGTTTTCTTCAACTCTTTGTTTTTGTCAAACATGGTGTTCAAGTTGTGCATGATATTCTGCTAATTTTGGTATTTCTGTCTGTAAATCTGTGTTCAGCAGTTAAAATACAGTGTTGAAATTACTGCTTTCAATTCTTGAGATTTTAATTCCTATTTGCTGCAATTAAATATTTCTAGACAATAAACACTTTCTAGAAGTTACCTAGTCAAGGTAATGGCACAAAATAATATTCTAAAACTTCATGTAGTCAAAGCTCAGGCTTTAAAACTGAAAGTAAAATAGAAGTGAAATACTGCCTGTAGCTGATGAACGTAACGGAAAAAGGGAGTGCTGCTTTTAGATGTTCACTAGGCAAACCCCAAATTCAAAGCTCCAGACTGTCTACAAAGTACCACAGTGTATTGGATGCATCAGCTAAGCTCATCTCAGATGTTTTCCTTCTCTGTCATGCTCTATAGTTTGTGAGTTTTATAGTTTTCCTTCAGTTAAGCTGTCACACTTAAGCAAGTAAGTTTTGTTAACAGAGCTCACGTGGGCTAGAGAACTGGAAAAGCCCATAAAAAAAAAGTGTAATATATGTGGTTTTGAGGGGAGATTGTTTTTTCGTTGTCTTGCTTTCCCATGAGGGCTACTTGGTTGTTGTTGGATTATGTCTTAGTTTGTAAACAGCTCTTACTGCAAGAGCAGTTGAGACAGGGTGATAGCTTCTCAAGCCAGCTTCATTAGTGAAGGCTGCTTCTTGTAGAATAAGGGACCTAGGAAGCAGCAGCCATCACAGGTAAATTACTTTAACTGAAAAAGAAAATAATTGTATCTGATTATCATGTACATAGTAAGGTAATGAATATAAAAATACTTGCTAAAACTTCTAAATACATGAAGTAATAACCTTTCTTACCTCACCTGGAGTATTTTGTCTGGCTTCGGAGTCCCTAACACAGGAGGGACATGGACTTGTTGGAGCAGGTCCCAAGGAGGGCCACAAAAATGATCAGAAACCTGGAGCACCTTTCCTGTGAGGCCAGGCTGAGAGAGTTTGGGTTGTGCAGCCTGGAGAGAAAGAAGGCTCAGGGGAGTCCTTATAGTGACCTTTCAATACTTAAAGGTGGCCTGTAAGAAAGATAGGAACAAACTTTATAGTAGGGCCTGTTATGATAATACAAGAGGTAATGTTTTTAAACTACAAGAGGGTAGATTTGGACTAGGAAGGCATTTTTTTGTGATGAGGGTGGTGAAACACTGGTCCAGGTTGCCCAGAGGTGGTAGCTGCCCCATCCCTGGAAACACTCAAGGTCAAGACAATCATGTAGTTGTAAATGTCCCTGCTTGTTGCAGGAGGGTTGCACTAGCTGATCTTTGGAAGTCCCTTCCAACCCAAATGGTTCTGTGGTTCTGTGATCTTCTATCAGTCAGTAGCAATTCTTCAGGAGAAGACTGTGGCTACATATACTTTCTGTACATGTCACCTATGAGATTGAGGATGCTGATACTTGGTAAACAAATACTGCTTTGGGATATTTTTTGCTGTGCATTTTATAGTTGGTTTACTCTACAGATAGAGAAAACTAGCCCGTCATTTTTGATTCTGCTGTGGGATTTGGGAGTACAAATTTCAATTCCAAGTGTGTTTTTTAGATCCAAGTAATTTGTTTTCTTGCCATATATTCAAGTTCTCAGGCTTCCATATTTGAGGTTGAGACATTTTCATTTTCTTTAGTCCAGATTTTGTAAGTGTATTTGGCAAATATTCTAGTAATATAAATACAAGACTGCTGTAGAACTACAGCTATAAAACTGGGCAGTTGAGACTCCTCTTAAAGGAAGTTTAGACTTTTCAAGAATAAATTTAAGCAGGTAAATGAATAGATAAATGCTTCTTTAAAGTGGTGGTTGCAGCCTTATGTTTTAATTACAAGACCATGTAAGTTAATTTATCAGTACTTCATGTATGTTAAGTGAGCCTTCATAACTGTGGATGTGTAAATTTAAGATACAGCTGCAAAGATTGGTGCAGCTGAGCAGCAAGGTGGATGATGGAAGTGATTGAACTGAAAATAAAAGCAGTTTTAAGGGTTGTTTTCACCTAGATCAACCCTCTGAACTATTTAAAGGTGGCATGTATTAAAAATGTTTGTTATGCAGATGGAAGGGCAGGAAATCAAGCTGTGAGAATAGAATTGCTGTTCTGTCTTACACACAGCAGTGTAAGCAGCTATGAAACCGTTGTTCCTGAGCTTATTGTGTCTGAAGTTTTTCAGTCACAATGGTATTGCAGTCACAATGTTTGCAGCTTTAAGCATTATTTTCTGGGTATGCTTTCCAGCAAACTAACCTCAGTGGTTTGGCTGAAACAAATACGATGTGATTAGCAAATTTCATCCAAGACAACTGTAGGTAGTCTGTGGAATGCAGTTGTGATGCTTTTTGTGTGATAATTTTTGCAGAATTTATTGTGTCTAAAAATTTTTCTGTGGATTATTATTACTCAACATAAGAGGTTAAAAATCTAGTCCTTAAAACACTCTTGAATTTTCTGTACCATGTGAATGATATCTTTGAAGGAAAAATGAAAAACAAAGCTGTTGAATATAAGTTTGACTGGCTTGTTGTTGGGAGGAAAGGTGCTAATGCTTCCTTGAGGAGAGAATGATAGAAAATTCATGTTGAGTTTGAAATTTTAGTAGATACATAAATATGTGGAACTTTTTTTTTCCTAGGCTCTCTTCTTTTGGAGTCCAAAATTAACCCGAACACTGCATACCAGAAACAACAGGTAAACGTACTTTCTTTTCCTCACGTTTAAAGGCAGGTTCTGTAAATTCAGCAATACAGTCACTTTTTTTTTTCTCTATTGTGAATTATATTTTGTGCCAAAAATAGTTGACAAAGTAGTTCTCAGCTTTTCTGTGCATTTCATTATACATGTGTTTTATTTCCCTACATTTTTGGTGAAGTTATGCAGATAACTTGCACTCTGTTTTACACCAAAAAATACTTCGGGAGAGATGGGAAAAGTATAGTTGTGCAAATCACAAAGTAGGTGAGGTTCCTGAGGATTATAGTATCTGAAATTTAGTGTCATCTGGCTTTTTTCTTCTTTGTATTTCAGATACCACAAGTTTCAATGTATTTTATTTATGAGAAGACTAGACGGCTTTAAAGCTGTTTGCATATTTACCTTTGGCTTTTACTTGGAAGATGAATATGGGCTACTGCTGCTTCAGAGCATTCTGTATACATAAAAGCAGTTTCTCACCTCTAGTTTGCATCTTGCTGCAGTTATTTAAGGCATACATTGTGAGTCCCTAAAGAATGCTGCTGAGATGGGTGAGAAGTGAACCGTAGGGATCACACTTTGCTATTATGTCATGGATGCTGAGAATTACCCTTGGAGGCTTAGAAATGCTGAACAACATTGTATTTTGTTGCCTGTCTGGTCAGCTCAAACTTGCTAAAATGCCATCAGGTACTGTTAATGTATTAAAACACTTTTCAGTCTTCAGCTTTAATAGTTTATTATAATCATAGACATCCTATACCTCTGCTCACAGACAGTCCCAGTGTTTGTGCAGCTGTGGCTGTTTGAAGGATTTTATACTGAACTGAATGGGGAGAACCAGTCTGGGTTTAAAAGATCTTTCCTTGGAAAATTTAGCCTGCATCTACTCCTTGATGTAATTCATCATGCACCATATAAATGGGCTGTGCCGAACAACAGGTACAGCCAGTGTGGAGTAGAGAATCAACTGCAGGGAGTAAGAAGGGACAAGATCTGCAGAAATGCTGAGCAAGCTAACTCTTAGTTGTAATACTGACTAGCTTGAATTCATGGTTCTATGATACAGTGACTCAAGCTTTAGGACTCCTAAAATGACTTGTGAGTATTTCACAGCTCTATGCCATAATGTGTTGATCTAGCATAAACTTGCTTTGCTGGTTCAAATCTGTTCAAAAAGCACTGAGGGGCAAGCTTTGTATCAGTAGGCTTTATGCCAGGCCGAACATGAAGCCTACTTAAAGTAGGCATAAATCTGAAAGGCTGGTGTGAGCCCCCCGGTGCCTGTGAGTGCAGCACCACTTTGTGCCTGCGCTCCTTGCTGCTCTGGGTCAGGCATGCACCGGAATCCAGCGCTGCCCAAATCAGTACTGGTGACTGAAAACACAGGTAGAGAAATACACTTATGAAACATGAATCTGTCCCCTTAGAGTGGCATGGGGCATTTTCCGTGCTGGAGAAGGGAAAGTCGTGTTCTTAAAGCTTTCAAATGCTGCATAGACAAAAATTTGTATTTGCAAGTGGATTGTTTATATTAAGCAAAGCGGTTTCTAATATAGTTTGAATGTAGGGCTCCACTCTGAGCCTTAGAAACACCAAGTCTTTCTTGGTGTATTTATTAATCCTACTTTGAAGCATGTTATCTTTCTGGTGAGGCCTGCTTATCCTTTCCATTAGTAAAAGGCAAGTTTAGAGTTTAAACCTGATTCCATATGAGCTGAGCTTGGAGCTTAACAGCTGAAAGGAAGAGTTAGTTCTTTCCAGAGCGCTGATCTGCCTAAACTCACTAAACTGCAAGAAAATGAACTTGGTACTCCAAATCCTTGTTCTCAAAAACTGGTAGCTCTGTGTCAGCAGATATTTCAAGGCACCTCACACAAGATTCATTTCTGGAACTGTGAGATGGAAAAGCGAGTGAGATCTTTCCTTTTTGGCAGCAGAGTGCCACTTAGGTCACCTCAGCTACTAACAAAATTGCAGCCTGAGATAGGTGGCTTACTTCTGAGTTTGCCTGCAGTGGTCGGTTGCACTCATAAAGTTTCAAGGAAAATGTACTAGAAACATAAGACTTCAAAGTAAAATGTTAGTGTTACAGGCTTGCCAGCCTTTTATGTCAAAATTTTGTTGTGAGAATGAACCTCCATTCCCTTTTAAAAGGGTATATGGCAGTACATCTGAGCTGGTTTTACTGTGGCATCCTTAGCATGTGGCTTGTGGGTACTCCAGATATCCAGTGGAACAGATGGATGAGTTCTGATTTTGTCTAGGCTGATATGAGGCTTGTAAGAAGAAACAATCTTTTTGTTGGACCAACTAATATAATTTGTGGTTGGAAGGAAGAAAAGACGTGTGTTAAGCTCTCTGGGAAACGTGTGTGCATTGCTTTGGGTTCTTCAACAAACCTTTAGATACCTTTATGATAAATGGTGAAGTTATTCCACTGGTGAAAGAACCTTCTACCTATGCTGCAATATTCATGCCAGTGTGAGGCAAACTGTCTCAGAATTTGTTGATATCCCAAATTATGCAGTCTCAGCATATGTGTATCTTAATGATATCTTGAGTTAAGCTGTGGCAGTTAATAATGTGAAGACTTGAGTACAGGTTTGCCTTGCTGCCGTTGTTCTCTTGGCAAGTAGAGCATCCATGGAAAAACAGTTTAAAAAAAAAAAAACAAACAAACAAACAAACAAACAAAAAAACCCCAACAACAACAAATTAGCAAACCAACAAAATGTATCCTGTGAACCTGAAGTTCAAGTAAAATTCTGTCAGATTGTCTTGGGGTCTAGGATTGAAAGCAATGACTGTCCCTTTACTGTGGATTAGTTAGGTCTCTGTGTGCATATAAATGTTGATCTAATTGGTGGTACATAACAGCTGTCTGCTTTTGCCTTTGAAGAGGATGGATACTTGGCAGATTTTGAGACTACTCAGATTTATTTTTCATAAATAAACATGGTCCTGAGATTTCAGTTTGCACAATATTGCCCTGTCTTCCCTGACCTAACCTGCTATCTAGAGTTTTGAAATGGTTCCGCAAAGCGTGAAACACATAGGCAGTCTTTTTAACCATCTTTTCACTAGTCAGATAAATTAGATTACTCTTTGTCACACTGATGAATAATTTTTTTCTGTGCGTTCAAAAAGAAAGGTGTGTCTATGTATCTGACTCTGTAAGATAGAATTGCTACCAGTGGAAGTTTTTAGGTGCTCTGACCTATGAATTTCCTGGCAAACTCATAATTTCTCATAGTATAAATAGAGGAAAGGAATCTATATAGGGAGAACAAGCTAGAAGGAAAATAACTTCAGAAACTAATGCCCTGTAGCTCAGAAAAAGGACTAATGTTTCTTATGTTAAGGTACAATTTGTAGGCAGAACATTTCTTCCAAAAAAGCAAAATATGCATCAGTACAGCCACTTGGCCTCCTGATTTGTATTCTTGTTTAGAGCTGTAGGTTATTTTTTTTTACTGGTATTTTTTTTTCATAATTTTACAATAATGGTCCTACAACTTTGCTACAGAATTTAATTATGGTTACGTAGGACAGCTTAAATGCAAATTTTGTTTAGTAAGGGGAATTTAATTATACTGTGGGTTGCTGAACCACATATGGAATACTTAGTTTTCCTCTTCTGTTCTTGATTATTTTTAACTAGTAAAGACAGAAGATATTTTAATTGTAATCTACTGCTGAAGCTGGTTTACAGACTTCAATCCATTCTCTGTTTTTGTATGTTCTTGTGGTTTGTTTTTTTTTTTTTTTTTAAGATGATTAAAATGACACAATTTAAGAATGTTAGTGACAGAGGTACTGCTCTTAAGTGATCCTTATTCAGTATTTTAGGACAACACACCTCTTTCTGTGCAATGTCAAACAAGAAATAAACTCTTTATGTAGCATTTATCTAGGGAGAAAGTTGGTACAGGTGTGGACTACGGTATATACTTTTCAATGTGCTTTCAATATACTTTGGCAGTGCTTTAGCAATAGAATTTACACCCTCAGCTTTTAGCTACATCCATGTACATCCTGTAACCCAGCAGTGAAGTATGTGTTGCATCCCTTTTTGTGCCTTAAACAAGGAGGATTTGAGTTGCTTCCAGCTATAAGTCTTTCCTCTGTACTAGAAACTTCAGTGTCTTGTGTCCTCTGCTTTTGCAGTCCCCTTTTCAGTTCCTCACAAGAATACAAAGCTTAAATTCATCCAGAGCTATCTACTAGCTATGTAGCTTTAAGGTGACTACGCTGGAATGGCGGAGAGGAGGCTTATTAATAACAAAGCTAAATTTTGAAAAGATCCAAAAAGGCACTGATGGAATGCTGAGAGAAGATGAACTTCCTATCCTTGCTGTCGGAACAAGCAAGCCAACAGTAAAACTTGTGACTTAGCTTCATGCTTGTTTTCCTGTGAAATCTTAAGTTTTTCAGCTGCTTCTGTGTATGGTTACTAGGCCAGTGAGTCAAGGTTCTGTTATAGAACTAATAAACTGATTTTGTTCCATGTGATTCATTGGAATACAGCCATGAAATTGCTACCTGAGAAGACACACATGATTGTTGAGCTTTCATAGAAGCTAATAGAGTACATCCTGCCGAAAGACTGAGTGTGCCTTTGATATGTTATTCCAGTTTTTGGGATAACTTGTTAGCATACCCAGATAGCCAGGTTCTATGTGAACAAATGGAAAAAATTAAATGCAGAATTGAAACTTCATCATACATTACCGGGGCAGGTGTTTTTAGCCTGAGGATTCTACTGCAACCTAACACAATAACTATATGTAATGACTTAAAAAACCTGGGTGGTGCCACTAATTTATTTCATGAGCAGAACACTGCTTATGAAACTGTACTTGTTATTGTAAATAATTAGCTAGCAAGATGCTAACAGTCTCAATGACCTTAAAGATCTTTCCCAACTTACAATTCTATGCTGAAAGATGCCTTGGCATGCCCAGGGAAATGTCTGTAACTGTAAGCAATGTAAGGGCTTAAATAAGGAAGACTAGGAATCAGGCAGTCCAAGAGGGGGAGAAACAACCTTCCTGTATCAGACTTCTAGTGGAGCCAGGGAAGTATCATCTACCTAAGTCATTTGAGAGCTAGTAGGAAGAGGTTAACTTGTTTTAAGATAGAATGCCAGACTTTATGAAAGACCCATCTAATTTGGGGGATCACTACTTCTTGAGAGTAGCCTAAATCTCATAGGGATGCCAAGAGAATATTTTGGAGCTACAGAAAAGACTCGTATTCTCTCTGGACATGAATACCAGTGAGAAGGCACTGACAAAAAATGTTTTCTTGATTTCTTTCCTGATGTGGTAAAATTAATTTTACAGCAGAATCAAGTCCTGAGTACTAGTTGCCCTGAAATTCTTTTATTATGAAATACCAGGGCTTGCTTTGGCGATCGTATGAATGCTGTGCAACACAGCTGCTAATCAACTAGTTAAATAAAGCTGATTTAATGTCTAATAAAAGCATGACTTCTGGTGAGAGTTATCAAGAATTTGAGAATGACTGTGTGTCTTCCACAGCCTTTCTGTTAAGGAAAGTAAGCCTTTTGGAAATAATTTCAAAAAGTGAGGAGAAATCATGCAGCGGGTACTAAGCCCTGTCCACCCAAGTACAATTGCCAGTGCTTCCTGGCTTAAACAATTGCAGCAGTATTTTTGAAGGTTAGTTTTTGAGGAATGAAGTCTCAGAAAAAAGCTGTAGTGCACACGGTAGTGCTTCCTTGAAAGCCTCTAACCAGAACCTGCCCCTCGTGGACTTGATGTACTCAACAGTGAGATAAGGAGCAGAGAAGTCCCACGTTGTATGCTGAAGAAGTTTTGCCTTGGGCTGTACCGTTACATGGATAGATGTGCAAAAAGTTAATCTCCATTCAGAGAAATGATAAATATGTCCTCAGGGGAATGTTAATTGCATAGGTCTTCTAAAAAGAGGCTATGCTCAGAATTTGTTTAAAATTAAGAATTCATTATTATATGTGAGCAGTCATAATGAACAGTAGTATGAAAGAAGCCAAATTTACATGAATGGTCCTAGAAAGACGGCCCATTTTGCATGGGCTGGGGGAGTGCTGCGGCATACAGCTGGCACTGCTGTCAGAATACTTTGTGAAGCAGCACATGATTTTCAGACTTGGAATAAGTTTCTGAACTCTACATAAGTAGTTTCCTGATTATCATCCTATTTAAAAAAGAGCTTGGTAAGAACTCTGAATGGATCCTAAGAATCGTGGGGAGCTAACGTGCCCAGATTCTCGTAGAGCACTCGGTATAAAAGACTGAAATGATAAAACATTTGGCTGTGTTTATGACTTAGTTCATACAAGGTAGCTATGGTTTGATACGGCAGTTTCACAATTTGTCTTTAATGACAAGCTAGATAAGAACAAATTTTTGATGTTTATTTTAGTCCTCCCACCCAGCTCTTTGTCTAGAGGCTAACATTTTGTATGTAATATAAAAAAATGTTTCTTTTGAAACTGAGCCAGAAATGCTCTTATGAATCACATGAAAGATTTTATGCTTATAGAGGGATAAAGTGCAAGACTTACCTCCTTACCTGTCTAACCAATAGCTACTATTACTAAGCATATTTATTCACACTCTTGTTTTCTCTTGGAATGGAATCGTCAAAAATTTAAATTGCTTTTTTGAAGTTGCAAGAAGTAATGTTTGGCATTTGGAAGCAACAGATAGTCCTATTCCATAGCTGAGAGATCAAGTAATTAGTCATTTTAGATTACACTGAGGAGATTTCAGATCAAACACATAGAAATGTTCTTTTAAAGAAAAGAAACAGAAATTAGACTTTTCTTTTTATTTTTTTTCAATCTTTAACAACATCTAGAATTTCCTTCAGTCACTTTTTCCTACACATTTCTTGTACTGCCCTCCTTTTTGATGATTTTAGGCGTTGTAGGATTAAGAACATGAAATTAATGTTTATAACTGTCTGCAGTTAACAGTGAAATTAAACTGACTGAACCTGTGTATTATGTAACAAACTGAAGTGCTTTTCTCACTTTTTTTCATGTTCTCTTTTTAAAAGCTCCTTGCGGCAAAAAGGATGTATAAACGAATACTCTCTTACTGAAGATCTGGAGAGTAGCAATTGATAAGAGTTCCACTGAGGCGCTGATTTTAGTCTATAATATGAAACCCTTGTGTGATAAGAGATAACTAATAATTTGAAATTGTTAATGTTGGCAAATGGAAATTATGTCTCTGATGTTAATAAACTGAACTTGACAATTATTGTTCTGCTGTTCAAATAGTTTCTTTCAGCAGTTTTTTGTTTTGCTTTCCAAGGAAGAAACAATTTAAAACAATAATCAGAATGCATACAGGTGAAAAAATACTCTCTGAACTTTTGTCTATGATAGTAGAACATCTTGTTGAACAAGAGCAATTGCTGTACTGTGGACAAATACACTTTGTACATCTCTGACTATAGACTTCAAAAGCAACTTTACCTTTGTGTCTTCCCTTTCCATCTTTCTCTGCTTGCCTCCCTTCCTCCATCCTTCCTCTCCCCAGGGAAACAGACAGAGACACTAACCTGTCTTGATTCAATGTTGGATTTTATTCAGAGACTTAGAGCTTTCGTTTGTTCAACTTAGCAAAGTTAATGTAAATAATAATGTCCTTATTTGTGTTTGTTTAGTCATTTACCTATTTGTTAGTCATGTTCTTTATAGAGAAGAAAATACATTTTGATCTTTTTAGAAATGGCTTGCTTAGAAGCCCAACCATTTTCACTTAAATGCAAATGTAATTAGGAAAGTTGCAAATTCTGCTAGTCTACTTAAGCTTTAGTGTTAGGGTTGGAATTTTTTAAAATAAAATAAATTCGACTCAGTGGGAAGCTGAGAAGGAAATTACTGCAGTAATTTAATTAGTAATTTAGTTAGTTAATTAAAAATTGGTATTTAACTAATTGCAGAGATTGATGTATTAGATCTTGAACCTAATATGTACAACGCATACTGCAGTAAGGTATATACAGGTTTTAAAAGATGATAAAAAAAAAATCTTTTGCATTATCACTTTGTAAATTTTTGTAAACTATTCTTGCTCCATAGGAGCCAGCAGGACTAGGTGCTGTCAATCTGTTATTACCAGAGTATTTGCACCGTGAATTGTCTTGTAGAGAATAAAGTATTAATTGTGACTTTCTTCTTCCTTTTATATTTTGGAGGTGGTCTTCCTAAATCCCTTTCTTCTGTGTACCACCTCTTCCTCAACCCTTTGGAAAAGGAAAAGGTAAACCATTTGCCATTTGCAAGGTAAAGCTGCTAGTGCCTCTGAAACAGTATAACTGCTCTGGTAATGGCAAATTGATAGATTGTATTGCTTGATTGAACCCTAACAGACCTAGCTGATAGTGCTGTTTAGATTAAGGAGTTTTCTAGTAAGTAAATATCAAAATCTAAGACTTCTCTTTATCCTCAGTGTTTATTTTAATATTTGAAATAAATTAAGCCTAATTAATAAACTGTCTTAAACTCTGTAAATGCCTGGCAACTTATAGTGCTTTTTCAAATATTTTAAATTAATTCTTGTAGGAATAATTACTATAAGCAAAATGTCTACTTAATGAAGCAAAAATACTCTGTTTTATGTTTCTCATTGAAATACAAGTAGAAGAATTTTTGTCTCTTGTCCTAGTGGGTAAATGCAGGTTTTAGCACTTAAGTGAAATCATGCAGGTTCATGGGGCTAATATATTTAATGTGGCTATATTTTACCTAGCTGCTACAGGAAGACAAAAGACTTTTAAAGTAAAACTTGATTCAATATGAAAACAGTGCAGATGATTTTTTTTTTTTATTGTTCTAGCAGTTATTTATCAGACTGTCTGTAAACTACTGCATCAAATACCTTATCACTGAGTGATATTGCTGTTTGCAGTATCAGCTTCCACTTCCATATATTGTCTTAGCATGCAGTGTAAGGGCTCTGATAAACTCTTGAACTATTCTAGTAAGCAGATGAGAGCAAGTATCAGAGTAGTAAACATAGCTAAGCACAGTTTCAACTGACTTCTAGAAATCTAGGGCAAAGCATCCTTTCAGAATTGTAGTTTGGAATGAGTAAAAATGGCATACATGGTTCAATGTAAGGTGTATTCATACTCTTAGACAGTTAACTGTGTGGGTGTTCAAGTTTCTGTTCTTGTATAAAGTTTGTAGGCACCTTGAGGCTGCTTTTAAACCAGCAGTTCTGTGCTTTTCCACAGTGTCTTCTGGGGTCTATTAAAAAAAAAAAAAAGGTTGTAACTTTGATCTTACAAAAGATGTGGTTTTACATGGTCCAGTTGAAGCAGATGGAAAAAAACAAACAAACCCCATACCTGTTGCTTTTGTTACCGTATTTTGTCAGAGGATGCACTGAGGTAGAAGTACATATTCTGGACCAAGCTTTTTTAGATATACAATGTTATGGTCACGTCAATTAAGAATTAAAACTTTTAATATCTTTGTGGAACCTTCATATTTATACAGAAATGTTTTTAGTCCTAAGAATCCCAGAAAGTATGAAAACCTTACGAAGTGTGACATTTGTAGGGTTATTATTGTGCTGTCATAATTAGGTGTCAAGCTTTTTTTAGTTTAAAATTTCACACTTTAAACACTATTCAGGTTTGCAAAGTCTGAAATAACATTGCCTGAAAATACTCTTCTTCTCTTTAAAGGATACCTTGATTGTATGGTCTGAGGCTGAAAATTATGATTTGGCACTTAGCTTTCAAGAAAAAGCAGGCTGTGATGAAATATGGGAAAAAATATGTCAGGTAAGTTTGATAAATGAGATTGTGACAACCTAAATCATCTTAATGTTTGTGTTTAAAATTTTTAAACTGCTCCAAGACGTGTGTCTGAGCATAGCAGATAGAAAATAAAAACTTTAAAAATATAAAATATAAATAAAAACTGTTGTCTTGGCCACCTCCCCCACATGTTATGTGTTTGGGTTTGAAAGTTTTCTCCTTCCTCCAGAAATTTGATATGAACATAAACTATGGTTGGAGTTTATTTTTTTTTTTTTAGTGAATTTTTTGGGTTTTTTTACTTAACTTTTTTTGTTCTGTTACTGCCCAAGGAAGCTTAGCTCAAGAGAGGAGAATGTATGTGACCTCTCAGTGAATTTTATAATGTATTTCTCATGGATCTAACTGTGTCTTATTAACTTTTTTTTTCCTCCTACATTCCTCATTTGTCTCTTTCTCTTACCTCATTCTTCTGTTTCAAAGTCAGGGGAATATTGAGTTTCTCAACATAAGTTTTTTCCAGGTAAATGTGAGTGTATTTCTGTTGATCGTCAGGCTGTGAAAGATTGATCTGGTGGTTGAAGTAGGAGGTGTCTCTATCCCTGTATTATCACTGCAAAGCTGTAATTCGTACAGTTTGAAGAAGTCAAACAATTTATATGTAGCATGCATATCTTTTAATATGTGCTAATTACCTGCTTATGTTCTACTACTACAACTGGATGGCTGTATAGTCACTGAATCAGTATTGTTTCTTGATAATATTTGATCAGTTACTAACTATTGACTAGTGCTTGAAAGGATTTTATCAGTATATTCACTGATGCTAGTCCAATTTGTTGGTTCTTGTTTGTTTTTTTCTTCCAAGCATTACAACTTTTTGTAATTTTTATGCTGCATTTGGTGGGATTTCTCTAAATCTGTCAAATTCTCTGTGCTCTTCCTGTTCTTAACAAACATCGAGCTCTCTCTGTCGTCTGGAGTTTGTTCTCACTGGTTTCAAAATCAAGGCAAAAGAAATCTGGTTTCACAATTGTATGGGCATAGATCATGCCTTTTTTGAGGAATGAGTCTTTTCAACAGTTTACCATTTATGTAAATAAGTAGAGAAAGTTATGTAAACAAGTACAGAAACATTTCAAGGAACCTTAGCAGTCAAAGGACCAAAAGTTGGGGACAGAAACAAAATGGGGGAAAGGGGAAATTGTGTTCTTGGGAAACACCTAGATAAGAAGCCCAGCTTCCTTAGCCTCATGTGAAGATCTAATATTTTTTGTAAGAAACCAGTGTCTTTACATCCTGTTTTGAGGCCATGCTATTGTATTTGTGTCTAGTGTTCTTTAAAGATCTTTGGCTTCCTCAGTCATTAAAGCTTTTTCTAAAAGGAAAAGAAAACTTTTAATTCCATCTATACTGGAGGTGGTTGCTGATGTATAAGCAGAACAGCATGTGGGTTTTAACAAAATTCTGGGTTTCAATCTAAATGTAGGCTTCTTATTATACATGAGGAATTAATTATATTACGTCTCCCAGATTTTTTTTTTTCCCCCTGGTTTTCAAGATTAAAAACAACAGTACCTTCTGGTGTTCCACACAGCCATGCCTTTCTGGGTTTGACACATCAGAGTCCAAGCAGATGCTACAATTAAGATGTCATTAAAGCTGAAACACCCTGGTGCCCAGGCATCTGTCTTTATATTTTCACTAATTCATACTTTCCACAGTTTCCTCGTATCTCTAGAGAAATCTTGTTTTTTCTGACAGCCTCAGATTTCCCCTGCCTTTTTGTTACTGCTGGTTTGGTGTTTTCTCAAGAGGGGACTCTGCCTCTGAGGATTTAGAAAGTGCATGGTGACAGTTCTCTAGACCTGAAGCAAACAATTAAGTTGAAAAGGCTGGCCTCTCTTCTCTGTTTGAGGTAGCAGAAGCTTTGAAAAGTGTCAGGAGCTGTTAAGTAGTCTACAGATAAATATTTAAAGTTGTCTTTGTGATAATGTAATGTTGGTCTGCATTTGAAAATATATCCCCAGTGAATAAAGACTTAAAACAAATAGCTTAGTTCAGTAGTCTGTTAAAAAGTTGTCATCCATACTAGCAATTATGAATTTCCTTTTTTATTTAAGGTACTTGGAAAATGTAACTTCTTTCTTTATTCTTCCTCCTTTTTATAGACAATAAATACAACTAGATATCTAATGTACAAATAATTTTGTAAAGCATTTTTTGTTTGAAGAAATCTTTACGTTATCTATTATTTTCCAAACTAGCTGCACTCAGTTTCAAACTTACATTTGAGCTTCTACTTTGGCCACGCAAAGAAAACATGTGAGACATTTGAAATGGTATTTTTTAAATTGAAACATGTTCCAGTAGCAGTAAACATTAAACTCCACTGTTTCAAATGTGTCTTATTTTGTAGGTTCAAGGCAAAGACCCTTCTGTTGATATTACTCAGGACCTTGTCGATGAATCTGAAGAAGAACGTTTTGATGATATGTCATCACCAGGTCTGGAGTTGCCATCTTGTGAATTAAGTCGACTAGAAGAAATTGCGGAACTTGTGGCATCTTCGCTGCCTTCGCCATTGCGGCGCGAGAAACTCGCACTAGCGCTGGAAAACGAGGGCTATATTAAGAAGCTCTTAGAAATTTTTCATGTGTGTGAAGACTTGGAGAATGTTGAAGGACTGCACCACTTATATGAAATTATCAAGGGAATTTTCCTTTTGAACAGAACTGCACTTTTTGAGGTCATGTTTTCTGAGGAATGTATAATGGACGTAATTGGATGCCTAGAATATGATCCGTCTTTATCGCAGTCACGGAAGCACAGGGAATTTCTGACTAAAACAGCAAAGTTTAAAGAGGTGATTCCTATATCTGATCCAGAGCTGAAGCAAAAAATACATCAGACATACAGAGTACAGTATATTCAAGATATGGTCCTACCTACTCCCTCAGTTTTTGAGGAAAATATGCTATCAACACTTCATTCTTTCATCTTTTTCAATAAAGTGGAAATAGTTGGTATGTTACAGGTAAGTTTCAGAATTTCAGTCTCTTTATTTGCTCTTGAGCAGCGAGAGTTGGGTAAGTTTTGTTGGAAATACTGAGGTGCTTCAGTGGAACCTTCACTTCAGTGATTCTGAAAGTTGTTTTTAAGTGACATTAAAAGTATGGATTTGAGCACTGAGCTATTACATATATTTTCTTCAATTTCAGGTTTTTGGCTAGATTCTCTGTAACTGATCTAAATTGAGCCAGCACATGCAGAATACTGAATTAAGTTGTTTGAAATTAACATTACTGTTTGGGTTTTGAACAGTTGATTTTGTTAGGGTTTTTTTCTCCTGTATTTTGGGACCTCTTAGGTGCTAGAGTTAAGGATAATTTTTTTTCATGTCACCATGGTTAAAAAAAAAAAAAAAAAATTACTTCACCTAAATTTCACAAATACAATCTCATATCAGGTTATAACTATTCTAATTTTAAAGTAATTTAAATTACTTGTTTGGAAAGTACAGGTTCAGACTACAAGGTTGCCTTAGGTGCTTGAATGTTTTCTTAGTTTGTCTTATATGTCCCTACATAATACTGCCTGGAATTACTACTTTTCACCACATATGTCTTACTGCAAATTGAAAGAGATTGTATGATGCTTTTGACACCTTACTTGTCTTTAGTATCTGGTGCCAACCTGTGAACTTCTTGATCTCTGCAGAAATAGGTGGCACATCTCTGTGATGGGAGCTTCCTAAGGCTTTCAGCACCGTATTACAGCACATGTATTTTGGTTTATAGAAGTTATTTTTGCCAGAAATCCCAAGATAACTTGATTGAAGACTAGTGTCCGATTAGTTTCCTTTTTTCTGTGTCTTACAACCTATATCAGGTTAATAGTTGTAGGGTAAGCTGTGGTTAGAATATCTAGGCTGTGTGGTTGCAAAGTTGTTACTTGCAGTTTACAGTTGAAATAGAGGCTCAGATCTGATTTTGATTTGTTGTATGACTGCAGGTTTTTGAACCTTATGTTCACTTCTGTTGCTGTTGTCTGTGGTTGAGAATAGAGTATACTGTCTGTGTGGTGGGGCCAGAAGAATTGGCTCTTCAGAACTTCCAAAGTTAGATAAATATTTCAAATTGTTCAAGTGCTTTCTGCGGCTCTGAGGAGTGTTAGAGCACAAGGAAGAAAATATATCCTGTGCTATATTGCAATTCCTGGTCCTTTCACAATACAGCTCTATAGCATTGAGGGGTAACTCCCTGAGTTTATAAATATAAAGAATCTGTTGGAAATTATTTGACATTGATGATAGTTCTCTGCTTTGAGGGAATTAAAAGAGGAGGGTACCACAAATTATATGTCCATTGCATTTCTAAGATGTTGAAAGGATGGATGAATTGATTGATTGATTAATTGATTTTCCAAATTTTCACAATGTAGCTCTAAACTGAAGTTTGAACTTACTTACCTGACATTTATTTATTCTTTTATTTATAGAGGGGCATTGCACTTTTCTCTAATCTCTGCCCCATAAAATTTCATTTTTCCCTTTCCTTTCTCCACCCCCTCAATCCCGCAGTCCATGTATAAAACATGAGATACTGTTCCTTCTCATTTCTTTAAGCAGAATAAGTAATGTTTTGAGAACAAAATTAAAAGGCTGGGTTTTTTTTTAATTTCACATCTGTAACTAATTCTTACGGTCTTTCTTCCATCAGCGTGTGGTTTAATATGCTTCCTGTAGCTGGTGTATTACAGTACTTCAGTGGAAGGGTGTGTGTTATTTCATGAAAGGTGTCTGTAATTGGAGTTCCCAGCATTCATTATTTTAGATCTTCTGAGATCCCGGTGCTCGTTAACTTTATATATGTACTTTAAAAGTTGTTTCTTTTATAAGCCATTAGCTGAAGAGTTTCTGGGGTGCTTTGTGGTCATTTATTTGGAGGCATTGTTGAGTCTTAAATTCTTAGCTTATACAAGTTTTTAATGCTTCTGCTGTTGACTTTGGGTTGTTTCTTCTGGACCACTGCGGGTGTGACAAAAGAACTATCTTTTTAGGAAATTTTACTTCTCAGATTAAAGTAAACTTCTTGAGCAGCTGATACCATGTGACATACTGCAAATATTGTGTGTACAACTGAGTTGGTTTATAGTCTGTTCTTTTCCCTCTCATTGGTTCTGAAGGAAAGAAGAAACTGTTATCTCCACCATTACAAGTAAGATGAGCTCTAAAGAGCCATTTTCATATCAGGCTGTGTGTTAACTAGAGTGGCTCTTTGCAGTACCCTCATATCAAATAACTTAGCCATACCTTAGTTACAGAAGAGTGACTAGAAATGCATAGACTCTGAAGATTGTGCCTTATGCTTTTTGACAGGCTGGGTGACTTTACTCAGAATTACCGCTATGTCTTATTTAAGGTATTTGGTGTCAAGGTAGGACATTTAAGATCATTAAAGGTCACTGACATTTTAGGTCGGTTTTCCAATTACAAGAATATGCTGATTCTTAAGAATTGTGGCTTTATTAGGAGACATTTTGGATGTCCTTTTTTAAAAAGAGAAAGATACAAATTCTGTAATCATAGAAGATACCTGCTTCCACCATCTTGCTTTCTTTCATAGGTAGATAACTTTTACCCATTCTGTGGTAAAGCCAAAGGTAGAGAATGGGTCACCTTTGGCACTTAGGATTATAAACTGTATTCCTCGCTTCTCCTTCATTAAGGTTAGCTTTCCCATCATATTTATATAAATGCTTACACTGATGGGCATTTCTGAGAAATAGAGGTTAGTTTATTTGTGTTCTAGTTGTCTAAGATCTGTCATTTTTAGTAAGTGCGTTGCTAAATTAGATACTGTTGGTCATGATGGATAGTAAACCCTTGATGCCAATATTTCCAGTCTACAGAATTAACTGCTGTGGAAACCTGCTCAATTACAGGTTTTATGATTCACTGTGTGTGAGGTACGACCGAACTATATAACAGTTTTTTCCCAATTTAAGCCCCTCCTAATATGCTCTTACTGCTTGGGGTCCAGCCTGTTCTAGTCTTGAGATGTCATAGCTACCAAGAAACCTTGCTGAAGTTTGGAGTTAGTCAAGTGTTGAGAGTGGGCATGGGACAGGTAAGTGGTGTTTCTTTCTTTATATGGCGCTCTTTTGCAATTAAAAAAAATACATGCTAATGTTTACACTGGAGGCCACCAGTTCTTTCCCTTTTTATTTTTAACTAGTTCTTAAAAAACAAAAAACTTGTAAAACTGCGCCATAGAGTGAGCAAACACCGTTTCCATCCCTTCTCTTCCTCCTTTCTGAGTGGCGTGTTCTCTTTGCCAGTGATGCTTTTTATCTTCCAGTGCAGAGTATTTATTGTTACGCTTACTTTTGAGTGTGTGCATTTAGACCTCGGAGCGTTTTATTTTCAAGAAAATGGAGAGTGGCAGGGGAAAACTGGACATCTGTTAAAATACTAGGCACAGTATGTTATGTGCCTAGTAGAGCAGTGATCACATGGCATTACTGTACTGATGAATCAGCTTCTTAAAGTACAGAAATGGTATTACTGATAGTCCCTGTATCTCCTTTCAATAACTAAACAAACTGTAGGCATTTAGATGCATCTGTATACTTTACTAGATTGGAAGAGAATGACAGGGACTGGAA